TTTTTTTCGAAAATATAGAGCAAAATAAATAGAAATTTGTATATTTTAATTAAATTATATATATATATACATATATATATATATATATATATATATATATATATATATATATATATATATATATATATATATATATATATATATATATATATATATATATATATATATATATATATATATATATATATATATATATATATATATATATATATATATATATATATATATATATATATATATATATATATATATATATATATATATATATATATATATATATATATATATATATATATATAATTTTATATTGGGGGAAATTTGCTAGACACCCCTTATTTTGGACTTATATAGGTGGAGATCCAAGTGATTAGATGAATATAGGTGTAGGTCCCTTGGCTATTAAAATTAATATGAATTAAATAAAATTATTTGTTTATGGACACAAATATCCTCAATTAATTTTTATATGAAAATATTATTTTGGAAAATAAGGAAACAAATCCCACATATCACTCTTATTTTTCTCTCCCCTCTCTCACGGTTCTCTCTCCTCTCTCCTCTTTACGTATCTCTCTCACGCATTTATATCTCTCTCAACCCCTCACGACTCTCTCTCTCACTTGCACATTTATCTCTCTTATTCTTTCAATACTTTTTTTCCCTGTAATGTATTATTATTTGATAATTTATGTTTGCATTTGTAATTAATTTGCTTTCAATCAACAAACATCAAACATCAAACAACAAACAACAAAATGAATTTGAAAACATATATTTAATGTTACAGATTTGTTGTAATATGGTATACGTGTTATTTTTTTGGTATGATTTCATAATAGATATTCATTTGCATATTTTCTTAATAATATCTTTAAATATTTAATTATTTTATCCACTAATTTTTATATGTTTCAAAGTTGTAACAGAAAAATGCAAATTGCATACAACAACAAAATGCAAAATACGAAAGAAACAATAACAAACTACAATTTTTAGGATGATGTTTTTTTTCTTTGTTAATTATGTATTACTGTTATATCATTTTAGTAGATAGTGAACTGCACCATGAATAATACAAACATTAAATGTCAAACATAAATTTGTGATTTGCATTAGTATGAGAAAAAATAATATTGCATGATGCAATAGCAAAACAATAAGTTTTTTTTGCAATTTTAAACTTGAAATTTGCAAGGCGATGTAAAAGATGAAACCCTTTTATCAACAAACGTAAACTGAAACTGTAATACACGGGATAACAAAACGAGGTTTGAACAATATTGTGGAATCGGTTGTTCTTTCTGTAACGGTTGGTTGTTCTTGGATCTTGACTGCAGCCTGAGTTGATTTTTCTTTTCATTTTCGATGATTTAGTGACTTTTTCCCTTTTATTTGGCTTAACTGTTGGAAAAACAAAAAAGAAAAAAAAAATCTGAACTAAGGAATTATCCTAACAATGTTACTGCAGAATATCAAACAACTAACAACTTATGCAAGTGCATGCAAGACTTGCAAAATGCAAACTACAAATAAAGACACCGTATGTAAGTAAACGACACATGAATTAGTCAAATAAAATTGCACATGAAAATAGCAAACATCCTTTGCAAATGCAACAAAGATTGCAAGATTAAAACTGGAAACTCACAACAAAAAACAACAATGCTACTAAGTACAAACTCATAACAAAATTATTAACCTTATAGTAGCAACATAACTAAGTGCAAACTCATAATAGCACAATGTGGATTAAAACTATCATTAATGAAACTTTCAAAGCAAACTCTCCAAATACTCTATGTGCAACTATAAAATCCAATATGCTATTTGTTTATTTTAAATTCAATATTCTTTTTTGTTCTTTTTGATTTTATACAAACAAAAGGCTTCCTTATGCAATTTAAAACAGACTGCTTTCCACAATTTAAAACAACTTAGTGCAAATCAAAATTTTTAGTATATGATTTTTTGAAAATGAAAAAAACATAAATGGAGTAGTCAAAGTAACCAAAAAAAAAAAACAGTCTTTGAACAAAATTGTTATGGTGCATAAATTCAAAACGAACATATAAAAATGCAACTTACAAACTCATAACAAAGAATAACAAAAAGCAAACTCAACTCAGTCTAACATCTTAGTGCAAACAACTAACAACACTACTTAAAATTAACCAAAAAATTCATAATTCAGATTACATAAGTACCAAAAAATTAACCAAAATATTCATAATTCAGATTACATAAGTACCAAAAATCAATAACAAAATAGCAAAATACATAATCAAAATAACAAACTTAAAAGAGAAACATGCAAACCCAATTTAAACAAAACACATAAAAACTCAGACTAACCTCAAACAAACGGTAAAATTATAACTTAAAATGCATTTACATTTTGTTAAAGAATAAACATAACCAAAATTATAACATTAACAAATCCATCAATTTTTATACCTGATTTTGGGGATTCGAAGTCACCATCCTCCTTTGTTAGTAGAGGAAAAAAAAGGGTTCTCAAATTAGCATCGAAATATTCGAAATAAATA